TAACGAACAGAAATGGATACTTCTCCCGCATTTCCAGCTCCGGTTCCCAAGTAGCTTCTTCCACTCCATGATGTTGCTACAAGACTTTCACCAATTTGATTACTTTGTTGCGAAGCACTTTCGCCTTGGCGTCAAGAATCTTCACCGGTTGTTCTTCATAGGTTGCTCCGTCTTGAATCTCAATGTCTTCCAAGTCTACGACCGGCGTTGCATCCGATTGACACTTTCTCAACATGGACACGTGAAATACGTCGTGTACTCCAGACAAATTGTGAGGTTCCTGTTAAGGATGCGCAGTCCTAGTATCCCACATCGGTTACGAAGGGGGGGAGTGACTGGGCTATATTGGCCACCCCGGCTACCTCTTTTAAGAGGCGGCTCTTGGGGATGTTACAGTTTCACCTATCTCTGCTCTTCTTGCAAGAAGACAACCTATATCTCCAACTTAACAACTCTCTCGTGATCATCAAAAGCTTGGCCTATCTCTACTTTACTCTCAGCAAGCAGCCTGTATCTCCAACTTAGCGGCTCTCTCGTGGGTCACCAAAAGTTTGGCCTATCTATGCTCTGCTCTCAAGTATGCAGCCTATATCTCCAAATGAACGATTCTCTTGCAATTCGCCAAAAGCTTGGCCTCTACTCTATTCTCAAGCAGGCAGCCTATACCTCTAGTTTAGCGGCTCTCTCATGGGTCGCCAAAAGCTTGGTCTCAAAAGGTGCAGCTCTCTCACAAGTAAGCCTCTAATTTTGCCTTTATTTTCATGTGGGTAGCCTCATAGTCAGCCTACCTCCAATTTAGCGACTCCTTCATGGGTTGCCAAAAACTCGATTTAAAGAGGTGTGGTTCTCTCATGAGCTAATCCTCAGACTCTGTCTTTGCTCTCACGCAAACAGCCCACCTCTCTCTCTCTCTCTCTCTCTCTCCAGGTAATCATGTTACATACTTTGATGTTAGAATAACATTATTTTTGTCATCTCTAGGCACACATTTGAAACTTAGATCGTCTGTAACCGAAGGGACTACATTAGATTGAATGTCAACAATCGGCCTCAAAACTCCATGCTCAATCTTAACCATCGCACTTGGTTCGCCTAGCGTTGACAAATCTATGCCAGATCACACCCAAGCCTTGACAGAGCCGCTTGCACACTCGTCTGGCCACGCCCAGAGCTGGGCAACGCCACTAGTGTGCGTGCCTGGCCATGCCCAGTATCTGGCGAGGCTACTCGCGGGCTCCATTACTTGCATCCAAGCAGCAAAGTCGCCATCTCTCAGCACCCATGGTGCCTCACCTGCAACGCCCAACAACCACGATGCCTCGTCTGCGACGCCCGATGACCCTGGTACCTCGCCATCAGCGCCCTTGCCCGCTTGCCAGTGCACGGAGCCCATGGCGTATAGTCCTTGGCGTCGACCCATGGTGCCTCCGCCTCCCTAAGCCGCACCTCATCCTCAGCGCTTTCTCAACGATGGGAGTGTCCTGCCAGTAGTACCCGAGGGGCCCCACAATCAACAACGTCCACAGGGTCTCACCCATGGAGCTTCCTCTCCTCCTCGCAGCTTAGGCACCCCACGAGAATTGGACCAACGTTGACTTTGGAGCCTTCGGGCTCACCTTCACTGCCATGGTGCCTAACTCCTCCTTCGATCACCACTACACCGGCAAGCTCCTGACCACCTACCTCAATGTCAATCATTCCATCACCATGGATATTGATGGGTTCTTCTCCTACTCTCATTAATGACTTATGAACACTCAAAACAAGATCTTTAATTTCACTCATCCAACTTGGGTTCTCAAAGTGTCTCTAGAAAGGAATCCCCTATCAAAGCAAAAGGAGTTTATATATTAGGAAGGAAGGAAAAGAGTCCTCAGTCAAGAAAAGTCTCCAACAATCGAAATTCAGGTTCAACCAAATGTCTTCTTCTCCAAGTTTGACTGGACACGGGGCATTGGGGGCAAATGATGAGTCAAGCCCAAGGACCCTACTCATGTTATAAACTCAGTCTAAATAAAGAGTCCAACTTAAAGAGATCCAATGGGTCTAGCCCAAAGAGGTACATGCCCAGTCAAGCTTATCAAGTTTCGAGGAACTACATCATAAAGAGAGGCAGAGTCATCCCAAGAGCCTCATCCTAGCCACCTTGGAGTAAGGGTCATCCAAGAGCTTTATCCAAGCCAGCTTAGAGTAAGGATCATCTTGAGAGCCTCATCCTAGCTACCTTGGAGTAAGGAGTCGTCCAAGAGCCTCATCCACGCCGCTTTGGAAGAAGTGAACCACCACGTCATCCTTTGATCGGATCTTATGGGGAGCGCCGTAAGTGACACATCCGTTAAGAAGATGGCGCCAGCTCCACCAAATTAGTCTTTTAGTTATTGATAGAGGCGACTATAAATGGTAATCTCGCCAACAGTCGGGGGGGCATCACACTTAATTGAGCACATCTGTAACTCTCTCCTATTTCTTATAGCTTGTATCTCCCTGCTCTCTCTACACACCTTGAAGTAATAAAATACTAGCCAACCCTAAGCCCTTCAAATTGGACGTAGGTCACATTGACCAAACTACTATAAATCTTTGTCTCGTTTAGCTTATTATCTCTCTCCACTTTATTATTGCATTTATTATTGATCACTTGACAAGTGGTACATAACACCAATTTGTGTATCATCAATTCCTAACTTTCATACAAAGTATCTTGTATCCTATATTTCTACCCAAAAGCTTGACTCCGGAAAAATGTTTTTTTGGGCCAGATTTATTGTAGGACATGTCTCATTAGAAAAAATTGATTGTGGTAGTATTCGTTTCCGGCGTCTGTTGGTTGTCTTGAGAAGCGGTGAGGTCTTCATCTAAAGAGTATTCGTAGTTAGAGGCGTCAAAATAGATGAGATTTGTTTCATCCATTAATGTTGCTTTATAATTCCTGTGTTTATGTTATGTAGTTGTTTCTGTGGTATCTGGCATGTCTTGCTCCTATGTATCAATAATATTAGCAGCTATTTGATCGACAAGCATTTGTTCGCCTGGTTCAGTTTTGTTGTACTGCTCCTTAATTTTCTTTGTACTTCTCTGAAGGTGATCCTCCTCCACTGAGCGAGGTTGTTGGTCCATGGGATTCACTTTCATCAATGCATGACAGATCTGGTTGTTACTGGAATTAACAACTCTTTACTCTCTTCTCTTCTTCCGTCGCCATAGAGAGAGAAAATCTAGAGAGAGGTCAGAGCTTAATTCACTTTTTGGATCTTTGTCATTGACACGTAATATCACAGTCCTTATAATAGACCACTACATGCTCACGATGCATCCAACAAACACATATCCAATATAATTCGATAAATGACAAATGCAAATACGTATGTTAAATATTCAACATAACGGTAAAGTCAAGTAACGATTGACACATCAAATTACCATTCAATAATAAGACAACACGTGTATAGTGTACACATATAATTGATACAATCCAATAACTACAACAGCAATGTATGGATGTGTGGTGGGGTACACCAAGTGTATTCAATGTCATATTATTGTATTGTAATATCTAAAGCTCACTGATAATATGGTATTACTATGATAGTAAATATTTACTCTTACATGCACATTTAGTGCATGATTGTTGTGTTGTGAGTGCAAGTGTCAATCCTAAGTCGTTATAAGTATTTGAATAGTAAGTCATTGACTAGGCAAAAAAACCAGGTGTTGGTTCGCCTCAAAATAAACTACATTACGCCCAAGTCAGGGGAGAATTAATTAAGAATAATATTTACGGTCTAGTCAACAACTTTCAAAAAAAAAAAAAAACACCATCATTTTTTAAGGTTAAATTGCATAGATGCCACTTAAACTATTCCACTTGTTTCAATTAAGCTTCTAAATTAATTCTTATGTCAATTAAGTTTTTGAATTATGCAATTTGATCAATGTTCCTCTTTTGTCTATATTTGTTTATTAGTTGAACATAAAAGGTTAAATTTGTTCACATGTCATAATAGGAGCATTCTACATGATTTTGTTGCCTTTTTTGTATTAAAATTTTCCTCCCTTGCATCTCTATTTAAATAAATAGAGATGCAAGGGAGGAAAATTTTAATACAAAAAAGGCAACAAAATCATGTAGAATGCTCCTATTATGACATGTGAACAAATTTAACCTTTTATGTTCAACTAATAAACAAATATAGACAAAAGAGGAACATTGATCAAATTGCATAATTCAAAAACTTAATTGACATAAGAATTAATTTAGAAGCTTAATTGAAACAAGTGGAATAGTTTAAGTGGCATCTATGCAATTTAACCTTAAAAAATGATGGTGTTTTTTTTTTTTTTTTGAAAGTTGTTGACTAGACCGTAAATATTATTCTTAATTAATTCTCCCCTGACTTGGGCGTAATGTAGTTTATTTTGAGGCGAACCAACACCTGGTTTTTTTGCCTAGTCAATGACTTACTATTCAAATACTTATAACGACTTAGGATTGACACTTGCACTCACAACACAACAATCATGCACTAAATGTGCATGTAAGAGTAAATATTTACTATCATAGTAATACCATATTATCAGTGAGCTTTAGATATTACAATACAATAATATGACATTGAATACACTTGGTGTACCCCACCACACATCCATACATTGCTGTTGTAGTTATTGGATTGTATCAATTATATGTGTACACTATACACGTGTTGTCTTATTATTGAATGGTAATTTGATGTGTCAATCGTTACTTGACTTTACCGTTATGTTGAATATTTAACATACGTATTTGCATTTGTCATTTATCGAATTATATTGGATATGTGTTTGTTGGATGCATCGTGAGCATGTAGTGGTCTATTATAAGGACTGTGATATTACGTGTCAATGACAAAGATCCAAAAGTGAATTAAGCTCTGACCTCTCTCTAGATTTTCTCTCTCTATGGCGACGGAAGAAGAGAAGAGAGTAAAGAGTTGTTAATTCCAGTAACAACCAGATCTGTCATGCATTGATGAAAGTGAATCCCATGGACCAACAACCTCGCTCAGTGGAGGAGGATCACCTTCAGAGAAGTACAAAGAAAATTAAGGAGCAGTACAACAAAACTGAACCAGGCGAACAAATGCTTGTCGATCAAATAGCTGCTAATATTATTGATACATAGGAGCAAGACATGCCAGATACCACAGAAACAACTACATAACATAAACACAGGAATTATAAAGCAACATTAATGGATGAAACAAATCTCATCTATTTTGACGCCTCTAACTACGAATACTCTTTAGATGAAGACCTCACCGCTTCTCAAGACAACCAACAGACGCCGGAACGAATACTACCACAATCAATTTTTTCTAATGAGACATGTCCTACAATAAATCTGGCCCAAAAAACATTTTTCCGGAGTCAAGCTTTTGGGTAGAAATATAGGATACAAGATACTTTGTATGAAAGTTAGGAATTGATGATACACAAATTGGTGTTATGTACCACTTGTCAAGTGATCAATAATAAATGCAATAATAAAGTGGAGAGAGATAATAAGCTAAACGAGACAAAGATTTATAGTAGTTTGGTCAATGTGACCTACGTCCAATTTGAAGGGCTTAGGGTTGGCTAGTATTTTATTACTTCAAGGTGTGTAGAGAGAGCAGGGAGATACAAGCTATAAGAAATAGGAGAGAGTTACAGATGTGCTCAATTAAGTGTGATGCCCCCCGACTGTTGGCGAGATTACCATTTATAGTCGCCTCTATCAATAACTAAAAGACTAATTTGGTGGAGCTGGCGCCATCTTCTTAACGGATGTGTCACTTACGGCGCTCCCCATAAGATCCGATCAAAGGATGACGTGGTGGTTCACTTCTTCCAAAGCGGCGTGGATGAGGCTCTTGGACGACTCCTTACTCCAAGGTAGCTAGGATGAGGCTCTCAGATGATCCTTACTCTAAGCTGGCTTGGATAAAGCTCTTGGATGACCCTTACTCCAAGGTGGCTAGGATGAGGCTCTTGGGATGACTCTGCCTCTCTTTAT